TTCAGCAGCTGAAAATGCATTTGCAATAATGCAAGAAAAAGGCTTACTAGCCCCACGAAAATCTAGACACCGGTTGACTCCTGGAACTGTAAAATTTGCAGCTTTTCATGTGCTTTCACTTGAGGGAAACAAGGGACTAACAGTGTTAGAGCTTGCTGACAAGATTCAGGTGAGTTGATTTAATGTTAGCAGAAACTCTGTTGTGAGTCTTGTGACAAGAGTTGAGTTTTTTGGTATTGGGATTTATTTGCTCCCTCTTTCCTGATTTTTTTTCTTTCTGTTATTTGTTCTTTTCTGTTAGAAATCTGGCCTTCGGGACCTGACAACAAGCAAGACTCCTGAAGCTTCAATTTCTGTTGCTTTGACAAGAGATACCAAGCTTTTCGAAAGAATAGCTCCTTCAACATATCGTGTACGAGCTGCTTACAGAAAGGATCCTGCTGATGCCGAGGCCATACTTTCTGCAGCAAGGAAGAAAATTCAGATATTTGAAAATGGGTTTTTAGCTGCAGAAGATGCCGATGATGTTGAAAGAGATGATGCTGATGAGGTTGAAAATGATGAGGTTGAAAGGGACGAAGACTTTGAATGTGATGAAGTTGATGATGATCCAGAAGTTGATGACTTAGCTACTCCATCAGTTGCAAAGAAATCCCCTGATGATTACAATGAAGTAATTACTTTCTCAGAAAATGGAAAGAATTTATGCAACGATGTTGCACTGAATGTGCAAAATGAGTTTGAAAAGGATGTTTCATCTTCCCCAGTGAGTGGTTCCAAAGATGCAAACTGCCCTAGTGCTTCCTCTAAACAGTGTGTTTCGGGTGCAGATATTAGTGCTAGTAATCTTGACCAAGAAAATATGGAGATTGATGAAAGCAAATCAGGTGAGTCATGGGTTCAAGGACTTACAGAAGGGGAATATTCTGATCTCAGTGTGGAAGAGCGTCTTAATGGCTTGGTTACCTTAATTGGTGTTGCAAATGAAGGAAACTCCATCCGTGTTGTTCTTGAGGTAAACATTTTCTTTCAATTTTGTGAAAATCAATGAATTGTTGTATTTTGTGTTAAATTTGACGCCACGAGTTCAACAGGATCGCTTAGAAGCTGCAAATGCTCTTAAGAAGCAAATGTGGGCAGAAGCACAGCTTGATAAAAGTCGCCTAAAAGAAGAGAATGTCGGTAAGTTAGATTTTCCATCTTTTGTGGGAGGCAAATCTGAAACACAAGTTATCGGAGTGGAGGATGGACCAAGCCCTGTACGGGATGTTGACAATAGAAATAATGAAGCATCTCCAGGCACTGCAGAAAATCAAAAGTCAATCCATGGTTCACAAGGTGTTCAGAATCAGCTTAATGGTTTGCCTGTTGAAAGGACTTTCGGAGCCCAAGATATTTCCATGGGTCCTGACAACTTCTTGAGTCAGCAACTTGCATATGCATCAAAAAGGTCGCGCTCACAATTAAAATCATATATTGCACATAGAGCAGAAGAGATGTATGCATATAGGTCCCTGCCTCTTGGTCAAGATCGCAGGCATAATCGATACTGGCAATTTGTTGCATCTGCATCAAGCAATGATCCTGGTTCAGGCAGGATTTTTATTGAATTGAATAATGGAAGTTGGAGGCTTATTGACACTGAAGAGGTACTTAAATGCTTACGGGTTTAATAATCTGTTTCAGGGCTTGTGTAGGACATGAGAATATTTTAGTACTGGTGAATATTTTTGTTGGTTATGACTGCATTTCATCCTTCTTAGGAGAAACTGCCATTGACCCTTCCAGCCCTTTTGAGTAAATGGAGGTTGGGCTAGGCATCCTTTGCTTCTTAGCAAAGTTGATTTTTTATTATCTGTTTTGCTGGCCTTGTTACCATTTGGAATAAAATATCCGATCATCAAGATTTGGGTCTTGTGATTGATGTTGGCAGCACGTCTTACATTTGTAATAGGTTTTGTCTGCTTGCTTGGTTGAATCAAATTTTATGTTTGTTAGATTTGACATGCTGTTTCAATTTTCTTTTTAAGAGTTTCTTATACTCCTTTTTCTGCAAAGTTAGGATTAAGATGCGTTGGTCTTGGTATCCCAATAATGGTGGCTTATTGCGCTTTCAACCTTTTTCTGATGCTAAATGTCAATAAATACTTTTCTGGTTCAATTCTTTTAGACTTGTATTTGGTTTTAACCTTGCATTTTTTTTTTCTTCATTATTTTAATTTGTTGAATCCATTATCTGTGTAGGCCTTTGATGCTCTATTGACGTCTCTGGACACACGTGGGATTAGGGAATCCCATCTACGCTTAATGTTGCAAAAGATTGAGGCATCCTTTAAGGAGAATGTTCGGAAAACTGCACATTGTCCTAACAGTGCAGGCCCAAGTAAAAACCATGTTAAAAATGAAGCAGATATGGATTCTAGCCCTGATTGCCCTTCTGGTTTCGACAGCCCTGGCAGTACTGTTTGTGCTTTGAATTCTGATACAGCAGAGACATCCTCTTCTTTCAGAATTGAGCTTGACAGAAATGAAGCTGAAAAAAGGGCTGCCTTGAGAAGGTATCAAGATTTTCAGAAGTGGATGTGGAAAGAATGCTTTAGCTCATCTACATTTTGTGCCATGAAGTATGCGAAGAAGAGGTGCGGATCACTGTTTGATGTTTGCGATTTCTGCCTCAGTTGTTACTACTTTGAAGATTCCCACTGTGCTTTTTGCCATCAGACTTTCAGTGCTTTCTATGCAAATTTTAACTTTAGCGAACATGTGATTCAATGTAAAGAAAAAAGGAAGTTGGAACCTTGGGATTCCCATATTCCATGTACTTCTCTTCCCTTGGCCAGAAGATTGCTCAAGGCATTAATAGCTCATGTTGAGGTGAGATGCTAATGGCTTTACTATAATCTTTGAGTATTGCTTGCCTAAGAACCTGGCATCTAATGTATCTGCACTTGTTTTTTTATTTTATTGAGTCTATACATCACTGACATTCTGTTTGACAGGTATCTATTCCACCAGAAGCTCTTCAATCGTTTTGGACTGAAGACCGTCGAAAGACCTGGGGTGGGAAACTGAATGCATCATCATCAACGGAAGAACTTCTACAGGTTGTCTTACCTTTTTCTAGTTTCATTCTTATGATTCAACCTTTATCATGATGTAATTAATTTCCTGATTTTTTTTCACAAACAATATGAAAATATCATGCGGAAATATTTATCCATCAATTCCGCATGCATTTTTCTACGTGTTATGGTATTCTATTCACCAGTGAGCTTTGGACCAGTACGACCATGGCTCATGATGTGTCTATTTGTGATACATAATACATATATGATGAGTTGCTCAATTTTGGACAACTTTGTTGCAGATATTGACTCTGCTTGAGACTGCGGTGAAGCGAGACTTTCTGTCATCAAACTTTGCAGCGACGGAGGAATTACTTGGCACCGGCAAACAATCAGAGGTTTTTGTTCCTGACTATCTAGACAGTGGATCAGTTCCCCTACTTCCTTGGATACCACATACCACTGCAGCTGTGGCTCTGAGGCTTCATGAGATGGATTCATCGATTGCACATATACAGCTTGAGAAAGCTGAGCCCAACGGAGACAAGGAAGTCAAAGAATATCTGGTGAGTCTATCTGCATGGGACCTCCCTTACAGAATATGTTGAATTTACGTTGATGGTGTTTATACAACTTTCAACGTGCCATGAACGAGTGATCTTACATGTGCTTTTCTTGTCCACAGAAGCTCCCTATGAGACTTGCCCCACTGAAAGAGTCTGAACAAACAGAAGTAGGCCACAATGAATACATTCGGGAAGAGAACAATACTCACCTGAAAAGTGCACGAAACAGCTTTAGACGTGGTAGAGGAGGTCGTGAGCAAGGGCGCGGTAAAAAGTGGCAGAGAAAAGGGAATAATTCCAAATCTGGTGCAAGTCGGCAAAAGGGTAGTGGGAATCTGAGTCAAGGGTTTAGACCAGTTGGGAAAAGAACACAAGGACAAGGGAGTGCACGGGGTCGCAGAACTGTTAGAAAGAGGAGAACAAAGGACAGGGCGGTTGAGGGGACACCTCTGGGCCGCATGACTGACGTACGCAGTAGCCCTGAGAGTGGAGGTGAGTCCCCGAGAAACTTGGGTGAGGAATGGGATGATGAAAAGATAGATATGATCCATATGAAAGGTGATGAACAAGGAGAGGGATATGAACAAGCAGAGGCATTGGAATCTGAAGACGATGACCAAGCAGTGGGATATGAACAAGGAAACTGGGAAACTGGATTTGATGGGACTTCCAGTGGATGGCACGAGGGTTTACTGGAAGCAAGTGATGAGGATATGGATGCTTCTGAAGATGACAATAATGGCATTGAAGAAGTGAGAGATGAAGATTCAGAGGGGGATGTAGATATGAGTGATGCCTCGGATGAAATACAAAACAAGATTACAAATGATGATGGCTCAGATTCTGCAGTTTCAGATGACTATAGTGATTGAAGTTTGAAACCTGAACTGCCTTTGTGCAAGCATCCCAGATATACTGGCTGCAATATAATTTTTGATATTGCAGCTTCACTAGCGGCTCATCCTATCCTGGTGATGGAAATCAATATTGCCCTACCAAATCTTCTTTTTATTGTTATTATTATTTTTAGCCTCTCTTTTATTTTAAACTTTCCCTGTTTATGGATTACATTTTTAGCAGTAGTCTTGGTAGAAGTACTGGATAGAGGTCCTGCAGTAGTTATGCAGTGTAACATGTAAGTCATTTTAAGCGTGTAACAAACCTTTACCTAATGAAAAAGGTGAGCAAGTTATACTGCAAAGATCCTATCTTTTATATTTCAGTTATATTCATAGAAGATTGTATTTGAAGCAATTTTGATAAGAGTTTTTTCTCATTTTTATTTTCCCATGTTTAAACAAGCAACTCAATTTTGGAGAAAGGGTCATTTATATTGAAGACAATCATGTGATGCGATCACTGAACAAGATTAAATTCTAGAACACATAACTAAGCTTTATTTGCTGCTTTCTTCCAAGCTAGAATTGACCAGCTTATATCTGTGGGGCAAACAAATGTTTAACCTTACAAAGACTAACTAGTTATACAAATCCAGGCCATCTCAAGAAACATATTCACAAGCGTCCCAGAAGATCCCAGAAGATTCGCATAGCGCATGGTCGATTGAATGACTGGAATCAAATCATGCCGCCAAAAGTTTCTTTATTCCGGCCTTCTGTTCAGAACTCAACCTAATCGGAAACTTGATATTGAATTTGATTCTAAGGTTGCCTTTCTTGGATGGGTCTTTAGGTATGGGCATACCCTCTTTAGGGACAACCTCCACATAGTCTGGATGAATGACATTGTTGATGGGGATGGTGAGGGTCCTTCCATCTAGTGTGGTCAGATGGACTGTGTAGCCCGTGAGAGCTTCTGCTAGGGAGATCTTCTGTGTGACAACAAGGTCGTTGCCATCCCTTGTGAATGTGCTGTGTGGTTTCTCATCAATTATGAACACAAGATCTGCAGGAATTACGTTTCCTTGCTCATTCCCTTTCTCTGGGAAGGTGATTTTTGTTCCCTTTTTCCAGCCGGGCTTGATTTCTATGGTTAGGATTTCCTCCACTGGCAAGGTCTTCCTGCATCACATGATAAGTAAGGTCACTAACCCAGAAAATAGATTGAGATAGGTCACATGACTTGCAATATGAATAACGAATCATTCAATCAACAGCAGGGAAATGGGATGGTAGCAACACTTATATTCCTTTTTTTTTTCTTTTTTTTTTCTTTTTTTTTTCAAAAGATAAGAACACAATAAGCAGATCAACTCAAATCAAATCCAACTAAAATTGGAATGCAGAAAACTGCTGACATCCTTCATACAGAAACTTCTGAAATTGTCAAATGAATGAATAACTGATTATGCACAAGTCATAAAATAAATTAAACAAGTACAAAAGTAAAAACACAAGTATGTTCTATAAAACTAAGTGATAAGCAGGAACTTACCCACTTGCATCTGCAATTTCCCTTGATATTTTCATCTTCTTGGTAGTCCCCTTATAGAGCTCCTCAAGGCTACATGGCAACCTCTTCTCTATCGGTGAAGCCTTTCGTGGAGCCTGAGTCATGGGCCGGCCATCACCGAATGAGCTAAACATGTCATCTCCAAACAGTCCACCAAAGGACCTTGTACCCCTCATGCCACTACCAGCACCACCTCCTCCGCCTCCCATTCCACCTCCCATTCCACCCATTGGGCTTGAGAACCCGAAAATCTCGGCGAAAATGTCGTCGGCATTTCTGGGGTTGAATCTAAAGACATTTGGACCATCCCCAGTTTGGAAGTAGGTAGCTCCACCAGGACCACCAGCATCTGGTGGCGGCACCTGGCCTTTTAGGCCTTCTTCTCCATATTGATCATAAATTGCTCTTTTCTGGGGATCACTCAGAACCTATATATTCAAAAGACACAATATCAGATTCCAAGCTCTGGCATTCGTACACCATCTAGAAAACATAGAAAGATGGAATCTTTCTGTCATTTGAGGAATTTTAAATATAAAAGATGGGAAATTTAACTTATACAATGAGACTTCAATAGAAAAGAAGGGGAGGAACATGTGGGATTTGCTTACAGTTAGAGGTATAAAACCCAGATGATAAAAAAAAAAAAAAAAAAAACACAACAACAATAATAACCAAAAGAAAATAGGTGAACGAAGAAAAGGAAGATAAGGGTGAAGACAAGACCAACCTCATAGGCCTCAGAGATCTGTTTGAATTTGGCTTCAGCTTCTTTCTTGTTGGTGGGGTTCTTGTCAGGGTGCCATTTCATGGCCAGCTTTCTGTAAGCTTTCTTCAAATCGTCATCTGTGGCGTTCTTGTCAACCTGCAAAAGCTTGTAGTAATCCACACCCATATCTTCCTGCTCTTCAGACAGCTGCTAGTGCTTTTAAAACTCAATGAATTGCTCAAATTCTTCAAGGCTATCAAAATTTATAATTGGGTATGTTCGAAAACTGATGCTTTGCTCTTATTAAGGAAAGTGGCACTGGAATTCGAAGGAAAGAGAAACAATATGTCGAAAGAACCAGAACGGTGTGGAAGTTTCCAGATAGAGAGTTTACTTTACTGTGTGGTTTTGTAAATAGTGACGTGACATCTAAAATTTACAGTATGGTAAAAGAGCATAACGAGGTGGCAAATGCTTGAGCCCAATAAAAGACACGTGTGAGTGTGACGGCTGGCGGGAGGTGGAGAGGTGGCTTCGTGTGTTGCTGTGCTGTGAATAATTTTAGGCTTTGGGGCTCGTGACTGTGGAGGGTGCAATGCAATTATGCAAGTAACGGTGGAAGGAAGGGGCGTTGCTCTTCATCTTTCTTGCCTTTTGCCAAAACCAATGGGACGACCCTTCTTTTGCACGTATTCATCGCCCACATTCAAACCCATTGCTCTTCTCATTAGATCCAATGCAATCATGAATTCTATGTGTTTAGTAGACACATGTGAATTGGAATGATTCATTCCAATTTCTAATTTTTCATGTGTCTATTAATATATATAAAATAAAAATTTATGTGGATTTTACATTAAAATTCGTAATCAAATGCTTTCAAAATCGTTAATAGAATCAATTACAATCTGTAATCGAATACCCTCAAAATTAGGAATAAAATCAACTACAACAGAACTCATAAGAAGAGTAGTTAATCCAATTCTCATATCTTGATTATCCCATTTAAGTTCTCCAATTCATGACATTCTCCATCTTTGAAAATTAGACATGGAGCGAATTTCGATATTTTTTTTGGGTAGAGACGAATTCCATTGCCTAATATATTGCATTTTTATTCACATACATAAAAACAAAAATCAATAGGTGGCGAGAAAGAATACGAAGCCTTACCGTATGAATATGAGGCTGTCCACTTGGTATCCTCACCCTGTCCCCTCCAAAAGTGAAAAGTCCAGAAAGCCCCTTTTTCCTACTATCACGGTCAGTCACTCACAGGCTCACTGTGATTGCACTCAAAGCTCCTCCTCCTTCTTCTTCCACCTCCAAACCCCGAAGCTCTCTCTACCAGAGTCTCTCTCCACATGCGAATGTGATCCCTCCAAATCCCCGCATTCTACAATGTCGACGCTATCTTCACGGATTTTCACCATCACTGACCAATCGAAGCTCGCATCTTCATCCTCCACCTTTCTGTTCCCTCTATTTCCCTCACATTCTCGAAGCTTCTCACGGTCATCGCGATCATCGATCCTCTACGGCCGCACTCATGTTGCCAAACCCATACGCGCCTCCGCTAGCCAGCTGCCCTCCGCCGCTTCATCTGTCACCGTCGAGAACTCAGAGTCCGAATCCGACCCGTCCGGCACGCTCTTCGTGATTCGAGCCCGAAACCGCATCGGCCTCCTCCAGGTCATCACCGGCGTCTTCAAAGTCCTCGGCCTCCACGTTGAAAAAGCTACCGTCGAGTTCGAAGGCGACTTCTTCGTCAAAAGATTCTTCGTCACCGATTCTCATGGCGCGAAAATTGCTGACCCGGATAGCCTAGATAGGATCAAGAAGGCCCTGACCGACGCCATCGAAGACGGTGGTACGGTCTCGATGGGTCCCACCAGTCCCACCACGCGAGGTGTGATGGTCCGCAGGCCCGGGTCGGGTTTGGGCATGAGCTTGGGCTCCGATAGTGCCAAGGCTGAAAGGATGTTCAGGCTAATGGATGGGTTTTTGAAAAATGACTCGATTAGTCTGCAGCAGGATATTCTTCGTCACGTTGAGTACACAGTGGCCAGGTCCCGCTTTAACTTCGATGATTTTGAAGCTTATCAGGTAATTTTGTTTTCTTATAGTAATCTTTGGGCTTATGTTTTCGAATAGTTTGATTTTGTGGTTTCCAAAATTGGCATAACAGGGCACAGTTGAATGTTCTCAAATTTGGCGGGAAATGTTCTTCATTTTCGTCATTTATCATTATTCTGGGTTCCCTGAGTTTTACTGTAGTTATCAAGTGTTTGCATATTTATTTACACTTGTTATGATTATTTTGCAGGCCTTGGCGCATAGTGTAAGAGACCGGTTGATTGAACGTTCGCATGATACTCAGCTTTACTTCAAGAGGAAAGACCCTAAGCGCGTATACTTCCTCTCGTTTGAGTATCTTATGGGTATTTATGTACTTCCATCAGAGTTGTTTTATACAATCTATGGACTTTGGATGATGCTAGTGTCTGTTAACCTCAAGCCTCTCTAGACTAATTGATAATGTTTCATTTTGATCTTGTATTGAAGTGACTGCTTGTTTTCCATGAGTTCCGAATTTAGTGCTGTATATATTTCCTTGATGTAGTTGCTGGCTTGCCGCTGAAATGCTATTTGTTATTGAGCTGTCAGGTCGTTCCTTGTCAAATAGTGTCATCAACCTTGGTATCCGGGATCAATATGCAGATGCTTTAAGCCAGCTTGGTTTTGAGTTTGAAGTTTTGGCAGAGCAAGTTAGTATGCACGCCTTTTTCTTTTGCTGACGTCATTCCCCCATTATGATCTCTTATATATACCATGCACACCATGGTATATATACTTAATTTAGCAATTTATTCTGCTATGGTAAGTGTTTTCCTGATGTTTCAAGGAAGGAGATGCTGCCCTTGGTAATGGTGGCCTAGCCCGTCTTTCAGCTTGCCAAATGGATTCTATGGCAACTTTGGACTATCCTGCATGGGGGTATGCCGACTCTCTGTTAGCATATACTAATCTAATTCATTATACCCCCATCAATTTGTTGTCTTTAATACTAGGATGACGGTCCCTTTTAGCTCTTTGGTCTCTTTCCTCCTCCAAGACAGTGAAGTCTAGGGAAGCGACGGTTACCTCCAATGTATAACATATTATTCCTGCTTGATAAACAAATGCGGCAGACATGATTCTTTACACGTTATAAATTAGAATAGAAGCAGTCTCTGGAGAGAACTCAAAACTCAAATAGGCTAGTGATCCCATAGGAAATGCTTTGATGTGCCTCACTTTTCTTATGCGTTATAAGAATGTGCATGCTTAATGGCTTTGAGAACTAAACTTATTAATCAATATGAAAACTCCACACCATTTTTTTTATGGAACTAGTTTTTTGCCAACAATTTCTTACATGGGATGTAATTTGGTGATGTTGCCTCTTCAATTTGCAGTTATGGACTACGTTATGAATATGGATTATTCCGCCAGGTTATACTGGATGGCTTCCAACATGAACAACCTGATTTCTGGTTGAACTTTGGAAATCCTTGGGAAACAGAGCGGGTTCATGTAACGTATCCAGTGAAGGTATGCAAATACTACTCCTATTTTTAAAGTGCTCATTGAATAATCGAGGTTGTTTTGATATTCATTATATCTCCTAAAACTTCAAAACCTTTTGCTAACTTCTGTTTTTTTTTTTAATATACATGGATAAGTTCTATGGGGTCGTTGAAGAGGAAAATTTGAATGGAGAAAAATGCAATGTTTGGATCCCTGGAGAAGTGGTAAGACAATGAACTCTTTTTCCATTAATTAAGGCTGCATTCGTTTTACAAATCCTCTGATATTGTTTAATTCATATATGCAAGATGGATTGCATCTTGTAAACATGATGAATATAATTGGTTATTTCAGCTTAGTGGTTTGTCTCCACACTGCTAGGTAGAAGCTGTGGCTTATGATAATCCCATACCTGGTTATGGAACAAGGAATACTATTACTCTCCGTTTATGGGCCGGAAAACCAAGTGATCAACATGATATGGTAATTTTTTACTAACATTAAACATTATGCATTTCCAGAAATGCATTTTTAATCAATATCCCACGGAAATCCCAAATGAAAGAGTAGCTACAGTATTCTCTCCTCCAATTGTTCATGTTTCAATAGAATCCATCTCTTGCCTCCTATAAATTTTAGGTGAGACTAATTTTTCTATGCAATGATCCGCACATGCAGGAAGCTTATAATACTGGAGATTACATCAATGCTGTTGTTTGTAGACAGAAAGCAGAAAATATAAGTAGTGTATTGTACCCTGATGACCGTTCGTTTCAGGTTTGCTTGTTTCTTCTTAATGCCTTTATTTATTGCTTATTTATAATATATTTTCAATATGTGTTGTGTTGTACCAAAAGATGATATGTTCATGCAGAAACTGGCTACTTCAATGAGATGAAGATTTTCCATTATGCCTATCGTTAAGGTTTTTATAGATGCTGGGACAGTTTATCAACATATTGTTATGTAGCATTCTGTATAAGAATTGTACGGATAGCTTGAACTCTCAAACTTTAGGATTTTGGACTATAATAATCATGCTGTTATTTCCCTGCGTTTCTATACCTTGTAAACATTAAACATCTTTGAGGTCTTGGGTATATGATAGTTTCTTTCTTTTCCTGCATTATGTTGGAAATCATGTTTACTTATTTGAAGAAAAGAAACATGGTTTTATCATTATTATTCTTTTGTTTTATCTGCATGTTTCTGAGAAAATGTAGCTTCTTAGAAGTTTGGAGAAAAGTCATGAACTCAGTTACGTGGTTTCCATGGGGATGACTCATATATATTCTCATTTGTTGCTTAGCATGTTTCCCTTTTCTCTTTATTTTGTATTACAGGGGAAGGAACTGCGATTGAAGCAACAATATTTCTTTGTCTCAGCATCCATACAAGACATAATTCGGAGATTTAAAGAGGCTCACAGTAACTTTGATGAATTTCCAGAGAAGGTCCAAGTCTTAATAATATGCGTTTTATCATACGTTGATTTCTAGGGAATAAACCATGTTATTACCCTATCTGGCAGCTTGTTTTAGCTACAATGAACTTATATATATTACTTTCCTCTGATAGTCGTTCAGGTTTGCTTTTCTGTTTTTCCTTTTTTCCTTGGCTCATTTTTCCTCGTCTTAATTAGGTTGCTCTGCAGCTCAATGATACTCACCCATCTCTTGCAATAGCTGAGGTCATGAGAGTGCTTGTTGATAAAGAGCATTTGGGTTGGAATAAAGCGTGGGACATTGCTTGCAAAATCTTTTCGTTCACAATACATGCAGTAATTGCTGAAGGGTTGGAGAA